TAATAATAATAATAATAATAATAATATCACTTTATTGTCATAAAACATTTCACATTTCCAGCAAAGCTGGTGAAACAGATGACATTGTCATTTCTTAGCTTACAAAAATAAAAATTAAAACTAAGGATTAAATTAAACTAGTCACTTTTTAAAAAACAGTCATTTAAATACTCTTCTATTGAATAATATTTCTTTTTTATAAGGAATGTTTTTAATTCTTTCTTAAACTTTACAATGCTATTGATATTTTTAAAATGAGCAGGTAGACCGTTGTAAAGCCTCAGACTCATGTAGTACGGTGATCTTTCATACAGGCATAGCCGATGTCTTGGATACTGCAAATTATTTTTTGAACGTGTTTGGTATTGATGAATAAATTGATTGTCTATAAATAATTGTGCATTACTCTTGAAGTATACCAGAATTTTATAAATGTAAAGTGAAGGCATTGTTAACATTCCATATGTTTCAAAAAGCGGTTTACATGACTTTTTTTTGCGTGTAAATGATAAGATTCTTAAAAACTTCTTTTGTATCTTAAAAATAGTTGAGGCATATGATGTTGAGCCCCATAACTCAATACCATATTGCATAATGGAAAAAAATATGGCATAATAAACTATGACCTTTGTTTTAGAATCTATTATGTTTCTTAAAACATACATCTGGAAACAAGCTGTATGTAATTTTTTAGCTAATATTTCAATGTGATGTTTCCAAGTCAAATTTTTATCAATATTTAAGCCTAAAAATTTTGTTTGTTCGACAAAAGCTAAAATATCATTTTCATATGGTAATTCAAAAATTATGTTTTGCTTATTTTGTAGTGTTTGGAATTGCATAATATGAGTTTTGGTTTTAGAATTATTAAGTTTTAAACCATTCGCCGCAAACCAGCTAGTTAAGTCTACAATGGAACGATCAAGCTCTAATCTAAGAGTATGTACATCATTTGCTTTTACTATAGCTGTAGTGTCATCAGCATATAATATTAGGTTTGATGATACATTGTTAGGAACATCATTTATGAATATTAAAAATAACAAGGGACCTAAAATTGATCCTTGGGGTACACCACAATCAATGGTTTGCCATTTTGAAATGAAATGTTTACCATTTTTCTTAATGACAGTTCTCTGTTGCCTGTTTTTTAAATAAGATTGTATCCAAGACAGTGCCAGATCAGAGAAGTTATAATATTTCAGTTTATTACTTAATACATCATGGCTCACACAATCGAACGCCTTGGACAGATCACAGAACACTTCTGCAGTACTCTGAGATCCATCCAAGCCCCTCGACACACGATTGATGAAATCAGAGACAGCTGATATTGTGTTTTTTTCTAATCTAAAGCCAAATTGATTATCTGTAAACAAATTATTATTTTCAAAAAAAGAGTACATTTGTTCATATGCTATTTTTTCAAAAACCTTTGATAGAGTTGGTAAAATTGAAACTGGACGATAGTTTTCTGGGTTTTCTACTGAACCTTTTTTGAAAAGTGGTTTCAATTCAGCATTTTTTAATTGGTATGGAAAAATTCCTTCATCAAAACATCGATTTAAAATCAGACAAAGTGGCTCTGCTATAAAGTTCATAATATGTTTTATTATTTCAACTGAAATCCCATCCCATCCTACTGATTTTTTATTTTTTAATTTTTTTATTGTAGTTTTAATTTCTGATACAGATACATGTCTGAATTTGAAATTAACTCTATGATTAATCATAAAATTATTCACTAACTTGGATGCAGTATCTAAACAGGGTATGCAATTAATGTCTTTAGAGGTATTTGCAAACTTGACATTGAGAAAGTTAGAAATAGCCTGACCATTAGTTATCAGCTTATCTCTGACACACAAATCAGGGAAGTCCAAATCTTTAGATCTCAAGACACCAAGTTCAGACTTGACAACAGTCCACACTGCTTGGCTCCTGTTTTCAGCTGTGGTTATTACCTTACAGTTTAACATTTTCCGGGCTCTATCACAAACAGCTTTAAATATTTTCCTGTAATTTCTGTAATAGTTTTGAAAATTCACATCCTTATTAGTCTTAGAAATAACACTTAATTCTCTTTTTCGTCTACTTGATATAATGATACCTTTAGTCACCCAGCCTCTACTTGTATTCTTTCGCAACCTACTGGAAAAAAATTTTTGTGGAAAGCAGTGATCAAAATGAACTAACAATTGATTGAAGAAACAATTGAAATTCGTCTGTGCATCCTGAGATGGCTTTATGTTCCAGTGAGTTTCAGAAATGCATTTATAGAACATTAACTTATTTTTATTTGAAAATAATCTCTTCTTACTTATTATTTTTTTATGCAGTTTGGTATTACAATTTGAAATATCTATAAAAAGAGCCCTATGGTCTGAGACCCCTAATTCAATATTCATTTTAGATCTCTTAATTTGGGAATTCCATTCTAAAAAATCACTAGTTAAAATGTTATCAATACATGTGACTGAATTTTGAGTAATTCTAGTCGGAGAACAAAAGTTTGCATTAAAACCATACATACTAATTAAATCCAAAAACAAATTTCTATGGTTCAGTGAGTTACAGGTTTTTAAAATATCAACATTAAAATCTGCTGCTATGTAAATCTGGTGAGTTTTAAAGTAATTTTGCAACTTAGTTAAAAGTAACTCTAGTTTCTCCATAAAAGTTCTGAAATTATTTTCATAAGGTGTTCTGTAGATTGAAATTACAATAGCATTCAAAGAGGGTAATTCAATGCAGCAAACTTCAAAAACATGTTCCTCATTGTAAATATACAAATCTGTCCTTTCTTTAAAAACATAACCATGTTTCAGAAGAATACACGAGCCCCCCCTTGCAGTTACACCCCTACAAAAGTAGGCCCCAACAATATAATTATTAAGACTTGATAAAAGATTAATTTGATTTTCGCCTAGGCAATGTTCATTAAAACAAATTATATCCACATTTGAATCTTGCAAAAATATCTCCAGTTCATGGCATTTTTTAGCAAACCCTCCTTGAATGTTTAAATGCATCATCCAAACTACATTATTTTTATTGCTTACTTCACAAAAACCTGTACAACTTTTCCACTGTTCACTTTTCTTATATACATCATAATGGGAACGCTTACATATAAAACAATAATTATCATCCTTTAAGTGGCTTAAGCTAGAATTCATATTATGATGCACAGTTTTGTTTTGTGAAAAAGATGAATTATATGTTAAATCTATAGAATCTATATCATTAAAACTAATTATATTTCTTTTATTTATTATATCACATCCAAGAGGTGCACTCTGACTCATAACGTTGTTTATGAACTCAGGACAGTCAGAACTATTTAAACTGTTGAAAAAATTCATCTTTTTCACATTGGATAGAGTACTAGCATTATTTATAAAAAACCATTATTACTATTTACAATAATTTCACTGGTTTCAATATTTAGACTTTCACTGCTCTGCTTTTTAATAACACTTTCTGATACCTTGAGCACTTCACTAAAAAGAAGATGACCTGGAACTGTTGGTGGGCTGCTGATGCTGATGGTAGGGTTGTCGTGCGTCATCGGCTGTGGTTGAGGTGAACTCTCGACGTTAGGCAGTTGATTAGGCATTCCACGGCAGGATGATGAGTCTGACATCATCGAAACATCAGCATCAGGTGGAGCATGTCTGTCAGGTGAATGATGAGTAGCTGAAGAGAGTGGTGCAGGTTGACCTTTTGGTAAAACTTGACAAATTTCTTTTTCCAAAGTCTTTTCCAGTTTTATTTTAAAGCGATTATGATCTAATCCATTTCTTAAAATTCGTCTCGTCTGCTCATCATAAATTACAATATTCACTGTTGCATTTGTCTGCCTTTGGAACTTAACAATGTTTTTTACAAAGGTTTCAACATGAATATTGTCCCTTACACATCCCATTGCTGAACAAACAAGGTGACAGAAATTCCTTTTCTTAAAATCTGTTGTAAGTTGCTGGAAAGCCTTATTGTAGTCGATAATTTTCGGTTTGCCATTATAATGTAACTTTGTAATCAAACTGTAAACAGCTGCTCCTTTTTTATTTTTTTGGTATGCCAGATGACTAGAAGCACAATCCCAAACAGAAGGTTTACCAAATTTTTTCCCAAACTTAGCTGCCACACCTGCAGACATATGCCTCTCATGACCAAAGTCTCCGGATATAGTGTGGGCAAAAGCTACTTTTTCATCGTTACACCTATCTTCTATAACACTTAACATGTTCTGCTCAGAAACAATTATTGATTTGTCTGTGGTAATTGGTGTTTTTTTCAAGGCAGAGCTCAGATATTTACTTGCAAAGATACTGCGCATGATGTTAGAAATAAATCTTTTACCTTTCTTATTAATGTGGTATCCGTGTTCATTATGATGTGATCTTTCCAATAGGTGCAAGTCCAAAAGGTAGGTGTTAGAATTGTTATAAACCAAAGATCTTATTTTGTTGTTTATCTCCCATATAAGTTTGTGTTGTTCTTTGTCATTATTTAAGTCATAGCGATATGGTATGGTTGCAATCACCAAATTTGTGTTTTTGAAATATGCTAATTGACTTTCAAGAGCATTAATTAACATATCAGATGTTTGATCAAGGTCTTTCATGGTATGATTTAATTTGATGTTGTTTGATGGTATTGACTATTAAATAGTTGTCAGGTATGCATAATTCGGTTTCATTTTTTTTTACTTTTTACTAATTTTTTGCCCGTGAGTTCATAGTACAAATAGCAATGTAGCCTACTGAATAACAGATTGAAACTACCCATTTCTGATCTGATGATCCTCAACAATTTTGACCACAGGGTCGTAATTAATACTGGTGTAAGGCTATGTGCTAAAAACATCTTTATGGGATCAGAGCGGAATCCTGACTGTCGGGCTATTATTTGTCGAGTTTGCAGGATTTAATTCAAAATGTTATTGTTAATATTAAGTTTGTTGATGTTTTAATTTAGTGGTGAAATGATTACAGAAATCATTGCAAGAGATAAAGCGTCATGGTCAGAAGCTGCAAGGTCAGATCCAGATTCACTGACGTTGGACGAGTTTTTAGCATTCCGCCACCCTGAATCTAGTCATGTGACCATACTGGCTCTGGTAGATGAACTTCTGGATAAGCTGGGTAAGTGTAAATCGAGGATTAAAAAATACTGTGGTAACAATTGAAAGAGACTTAATTCTGTTTACATCATGTACATTAGCAGCTGTTAAGTATTTCTTCATTTAGTTACATTCTGACTATCATGTTCCTAAATCTGTTAAAACTTGCCTTTACACATAGCTTCAGCATTTGCTAGCATAACCTGTTTACAAGACTAGAATTAATGTGAAAGCTATGCCAAACTTACAAATTATTCACAGCTTGAGCATATACTGATACTAGCAGAGTATCCGTCCTTCGTACGGGGTTGGAATATAAGTATAAAATGCTTATTGCAGTTATAATCAAGCTTTGCGTTTTCAAAAAGGGCGGACACAGTTTGATAAAATTTGCTTTTTTAAATTTACAGTATTTCTATCCCAATAATACGTCCAGTGGTTTATGCGTGATTGAACTTCAAACACACAAACAAACGAACACACAAACTTTCACATTTATAATATTAGTAAGATGTCTAGTATGTCACAGGTCTTGTAGTTTTATTATTCTGAAGACGCTTGCAACTTTGTTTCAACTTTGATACAACAGCTTTTATGCTGTAGGTTTTAATGTTTTGGAAACACAGTTGCGAGTTGAGACCATAGTTTCTCAGTCATTAGTTTTTACAGATCGTGATGGTGATGAGTTGCTGACAGAAGAAGAGTTTGCTCGTCTTCAGGTGGGGGAGGGGGGAGAGGTGTTGTTGTCTCAGGGAGAGACGGAGCGTAGAGCTGAGTTCCGCAGTTTCCTAGACATTGACCACGATGGTAAAGCCGACAGGAAAGAAATAGTGGTGAGCCATAGATTCTGCTTTTATATTTGTTAGTTTATGTTTATGTAGTGTTGTCTAAACAGTTTTTGCAATGTTCATTTGCTATACCGGTAACGTAATAAAGACGCTTACCTATACTTGTTGGTGACACGTCAACACGTGCATATTTGAAGTCATTGTCTCCAACATGAGTCATAGTCAGAGTCCCAAGGTCAGACGTCGGCCGGTCGGGTGAAATAAGACATTGCAATATTGATTTATATTAAGATAATTAAGTTGGGACAAGGCCTTCAACTACACAGTGGGGTTCAATATTAGGCTATTATTGCTAAACTAAAAATAGTATACAAGCAAATCCAACTACTCAATTTTCATAAAATATTTATCTTGGGAAAACCTTGCAAATATATAAAGTGACATTTAAGATTAGTTAAATACATACAAAGTACTATTCAAAACTCAGTTATATATAATTTTTCAAAATACTTTAAATGCACATCCAACCTAATTTTCTCAATTTTGTTGCATTACGTTTACCATGGCACTCACGGTGCCCCCTGGCCGAAGCGCCCGCCCCTGGATTAGGGATATAACACAGAGAAAACCCTTATTGTATTAAGTGTACTTGTATGGTTTTCCTCATTTTTGTGCAATCAAGTGCTGGTATTAATGACAACAGGACTCCCATTAGGAAAGTGTATAGTGTAATATACTGTATAATTTACCTTCTTCATAATACTATGAACATTTTAACTTTTATCCATCACCAGATCCATCCAGTAGAGATAGAAGTCTAGCTTTTTAAAAACAGAATTTAAAAAGGTCTTGAGTTTGTTAGAGCACTATTGTGGGGTTTTATTGATTATAATTCTGCTACTTTTAGTTTTGTATTAAGCTTAGTTCATTGGCCAGTCCTTCTACATAAAGTAGGTTGTGTAAGATGAAATTTGAGCTACATGCTCTTTAACGATTGTGTTATTGGGAAGAAATGAAAGTGACCCCATTTGTCAATATCGTAGATGTACATGGACCCCAAACACCCGAGACACGCGCGGGAGGAGGCAGAGACCCTAGTGGCGTTGTCAGACATCGACCACGATGGAAAACTCAGCCTATCAGAAGTACTCAGCAAGATGGACCTATTTCTGGGCAGCAAAATGGTTGACACTGCCAAAAGCTTTCATGACGAGTTCTGAGTTTTGGTAAGTAAGATTTGTGATAATGCTAATCCCAAGGATCCTGGCGACTTTCTGTTTATAAGTTTATAACTTATATCTACTGTAGGTAGCTGAGTAACTGTAGGGCTCACCCAATTGTATTTTTGCTTGTTGTTGGAGAGTCACTAGTTTAATCCTGAGAAAAATCAATAACATTTTAAAGGTTTGAGATTGAACTTAGCTTTCCTTGACCATTGGGTTCAACAAAAAATTGACGATAGATAGTAACAAGACAAGGCTTTGGACTGTTCCCCTAGTAAGGAAATAAAAATGCTAATGACGATTATGAAATCAAATGCAGATTTTTGCACATTTCCTAATCGTTGTTTGATTTTTAATTTTTCTTATCCCTTATTACTGTTTTAAATAGATTATATAAATATCCTTCCACATTTGCAATATGCAATATCTCAGGACAGACTGTTACATCCAAACTATTTATTCTACTTATTTGAGGGCTTTTTGCAGATTTTGCCATGATAAATAATCAAAAGTTTATATGACGTTCTACAATAATCCTTTGAACAACTTAATCTTAAAAAATATAAAGAAGGAAAGAATATTGTTTTGATATTTGAATAAGTTTTGTTCCGACTGTAACTAGTATTTTCACATTGATAGGAATATAAGTTGTGATCTCCGTCCCAGTCTAGGCTTATGAAAGCTTGGCTGATACACTCCACCAGCACCAACATTTTGATTTTTCAAAACAATTTTTTTTTTCTAAATCATGTATTAACGTGAGCAGTGCCAGATTTACCACTACTGACAAGGTTGTGGCCTTGGGCCACAGCTTTTTGTACACAGAAACTTGTTAAAAACAAATCCATAATTTATATTTTCTAAAATTAATATTTTGCTACACTCACGGATGATGATGATCATTGGAGATGTTCACGATTTTCCGCGATCGCAGGGGACGATGATGATGTCCTGTGATAGCGAGAGATGTTCACAATTTCTCTGCGATTGCAAGCAGTTTCACCAAAGGGGCGGGATCCGCTCAGGTGTTTTTGGCCTATGGCCATCAGTACCCTAAATCTGGCACTGAACTGGAGTTGTCAACAAATTGATAATACATTTTTGTTTAACAAAAATAAACATGTTTATATTCATTATATCAATTTTTAGTTTTTAGTGAATACAATTTCCCAGATTTGATATTCCAAACAATCCAAAAATTTTAATAAGGTATATTAATATTGATAATGAGAACTCCAGTTAAACCTTTAAACACAATTAAAAAATGCAGAACCAGAATTACGTTCCACTAATAACTGTGAAAGAAATTTACATAACGCCAATACTGTACAGTTCTTGTCTAAGGTTGTTAGTTAGTTGTATTGTTAAACTTGTCACGTTTCCTAATAGTTGAAGTGTTAGGTATTAAATATGGTAAAAACGGCAGTTTGAGTGTGTAGTAGTATTAAAAATCTCAAGTGATTAACATTTTGTATACATTTTTTAAGGAATTCATCAATGCTTTTTAGTAGTATTTTAAATTGTAAATTTGATTGTTAAGACGTTCTAAGACAAATAGTTATTTAGGTGAAAATAAAATGACAATGAAACCTCGCTTTAGATGATGTGCACCAAACATGTAAATTTTTTGATTCCATTGCATTAGTGTACAAATATTCTCTAGTCTTATTCATTATGTTAAAGTTGTCTTGTCAAGTAGGAGGGTAAATTCATTTGTAGTTATGAACTACTTTTTTATTTCAGTTGAACGAGTTTGAATAATTTGTCATGATGTGTGTTTCAATTTTCATTAATGTTCTGTTACGTTTGTAAACCTTATTTGTTGTTCTTAAAATTGTTACCACTTTTATATTTATACAGTAAAGAAATTTTGGTACTTGCTCTCCACGCTATCTTAACTTTTTTGTGGTCTTGATGGAGACATTTAAAAGAGTTTTATTTTCATTATCATTATTAATTAAAATGGGGACGCCACCTATGTATGGATTTTAACCTAAGGATGTCCTACTGTGCTGCAATTCTCTATATAGCAAACTTGTTAACGTAATGTTTCTTAACTTCTTTCTAAACTACAGTATTCTTAACTGACCATTTTTAAATTGGCCGCTTTAACCACAGTCTACCCTGTCAGGGGTTAGCTACTTCCGTATGATGTTATGATTTCAAAACCAAAAGCAACACATTATCCAGTCATCTTTTGCCATACTGGGTAATAGATTTTCTGTTTATCTATGCTTCAATTCATGACCACATCCCGTACTCTCCAAATATTTTTATGTAAAGGCAAATGTATTTTTACTTAATTTAAAATACAGTAGGCCTACAGTAATTTTACAATGTTTGTAAAATTCAACATTTTTAACAAACTAAAATCGTGATGGTAACTGATTAACTTACTCTCTTTTCCAAAAGATGGACACAAACATAGCTGTAAATACGTTACTGTAAAGCCCCCCATACACGGGCGAGCATGTTCGCGAGCATGCTCGTGATGGTGTTGGCGGCGAACATGCTCGCTCGTGTGTGGGATCCGCGAGCCTTCCTACCAGCGAACATGTTGGGCTCGGTGCTCGGCTCGTCGCCATAATATAGTCACCACAAATGGCCACAACAGCATTAGCATCCATTTGAATTTAATCAAAATAAATTAATTTAATATATTAAATTTAAATAAATTAACACAACTTGACTGTCATAGCTCAAGAGAAGCAAGAGTAGGCCTACTGGGCGGTAGCGGCGATCATGTTCTCCAGCATGCTCGTCCGTCTGTTGACAACGCCGAGCATGTTCGCCAAAATGCTTGCGAACATGCTCGCCCGTGTATGGGGGGCTTAAGAAAAGAAGTACAGTACTGAAAAAATGCTCTTTCCTGTGAACTTATACAAAAGGGAAGTAATTTTTAACTTAGTATTTTTAATTAAAATTTGTTGATATTTTATTTAGTCCAGTAAATAGAGACAAAAATAGTGGGGTTTACTTACAAACAGTCCGGTAAGTCTAAATTTTTTATATGTTGTCTAGGATGGTAAGTAGGTGTTTAAAATGAAAAATGCACAATTCTCCCCTCTCCGCACTCGCCGCCATATTGAAAAATAGAAAAAATCGGTACTTTCTAAAGATTATTGCCTATATCTCTGTTTTGGTGCGTTTTAGCGAAAGATATGTAATGTCAATGTTGTAGACAATTAAATTTCCTATAATATAAGTATAACAGTTTGGTTCTAAGACTTCTGGATACGAAAATATTTAAAAACTTTTACAATAAAACGTCAAAATGTTTGTTATTTTTCCAAATCTCTATTAGTCCAAGCAAACTAAAAAAACTGTCACAGGGAACGTTAAATAAATTGCAAGAAAACATTTTATGGTTTTGTTTTGTAGTGTTGGGTCTGCAGAGTGACATACTAAAAGTTGCAAAAAAAAATCGGTCTACAGAAACCTCCTAAAATCACAATTAAAAATGGCGGCTTTTCCCAACATTGGACAAATTTGGAAAAAAATATACCACATGCATATTTTATTCAAAATTTTTAGAGATATTTATGTATTTAGATTAGATTAGATTAGATTAGATATTTATTTATTTGTAAGTTAACATACCTCTATTCACTGGACTAATTTGTGTATTTTATTAGTTAATTTTCTAATTACATGTGTCATTTTACCGCCATATTATTTTTATATTCAACTTATTAATTAATCACAATCACAATGCAATATCATTGACTATGGATATAAATGTGAAATGTATCCATATCAGTATCCTTAGTCGATGACAATCCTGACTTGAACAAAATATTTTCTTTGCCATACGTAAATTAGTATTGTATATCCACTGTGTGGAGTGTTAGATTAAGTGAAATGAAATAAGTATTCTTTTTTACCATATTTTGTAAAAAAATGTTGATTTAAATACACTTTTTTGTTAGATTGGGCTATTTTTTAACCCATCGTGTTGCGTTTTATTTGTGAAATATTATAATTCCGGACTGAGTATAGGCACTGCTAATATAATGTATTTTTGGATACTATTATGTACTACTTTATTGGGAACCTTAGCAATTATGTGTGCTAAATTTGAAGGTGTTATTAAATTGGCTAGTACAAATCTTTTTTTGAAAGAATAGCAAGTAAAGCAAGTTCACAAAATAGTCAAATTGAACAACATTTCTCACAACATTTTTGAAGGCAAATGTAATAAACTGCATCAGCTCAGCAAACTGGCAATTATCTTATACATTCCCCAGTTAGCTTGACATTAAAATTGTGTGCGGATGTGTACAGACAAAAAGTTACACATTTGGTCCGATTTTCATTAAGTTTGGAATGTGGGTATCAGCAAGGTCCGTGAAGTTAGCCCCCCCCCATAAAAGCACTAACAATTAAACTAGTATTAATGGTTAGTGCTTCGTTAGTGCTGGTTAGTGCTTCAACTCCCATCGTTAGTGCTCTTACGGTTCAGGAGCTATAACCGAAAAACTGTGGGGGGGGGGGGGCCAACTTCACGGAAGTTAGCCCCCCCCAGTAGTAATATGTGAGCACTAACTTTTAAAACTGTACCAACGGTTAGTGCTTCGTTAGTGCTAGTTAGTGCTTCAACTCCCATCGTTAGTGCTCTTACGGTTCAGGAGCTATAACCGAAAAACTGTGGGGGGGGCCAACTTCACGGAAGTTAGCCCCCCCATTAGTAATATGTGAGCACTAACTTTTAAAACTGTACCAACGGTTAGTGCTTCGTTAGTGCTGGTTAGTGCTTCAACTCTGCATTGTGATTGGTTTAAAATTACGTCATCTGAATTTCGGGCGGTCGTATGCTCTACATTTCCAAAACGAGTCACTCAACTAGTGGTTTCCAACTCACTTCCAAACTGTTGGATTTCAAAAATACCAAATCCTGTTGTTGGTTTAGTTGAGTGTTGACTGTAGAGTCAACTGTCAACCATTTCAAAAATAGGGCCCCAGCACTAACGAAGCACTAACCGTTGGAACAGTTTTGAAAGTTAGTGCTCACATATTACTACTGGGGGGGGGGCTAACTTCCGTGAAGTTGGCCCCCCCCACAGTTTTTCGGTTATAGCTCCTGAACCGTAAGAGCACTAACGATGGGAGTTGAAGCACTAACCAGCACTAACGAAGCACTAACCGTTGGTACAGTTTTAAAAGTTAGTGCTCACATATTACTACTGGGGGGGGGCTAACTTCCGTGAAGTTGGCCCCCCCCCACAGTTTTTCGGTTATAGCTCCTGAACCGTAAGAGCACTAACGATGGGAGTTGAAGCACTAACCAGCACTAACGAAGCACTAACCATTAATACTAGTTTAATTGTTAGTGCTTTTATGGGGGGGGCTAACTTCACGGACCTGTATCAGCAGGCAGTTTTTGGACCAGGAACCGATTTACTTTTTTTTTATGTCGACAGAGGCCGTAAATACCATTTGTTCTAATCTAACCCGTCTGTTATTACGATAACAAGAGAAATTCATCCAATTTTGTATGAACCTATAATCCAATGTTTATTGAAAGGAGTTCGCAAACCACCATGATCGGACTACGGGAACGGTATTTAATGAGAGTGAAATTTGTTTTTCCTATTTTTGACCCTCAAAATAAAACATTTTGTAATTTTTTTCTAAACCATCCTGTAAAGCTTAAAAAAGCAATTAGTTAGTATATTGAAACATTTTTATGGAGAACACCTAATGGTTATGGAGAAAATTCCAAAAATCTGTAAAATAGGTAAAATAAAAATTCCTACCATAATTTAACCCTGACTTGTCCTTCATTCATGTTTGCATTGAAATATTTATCATGTTCGTTGACGTCGTTTAAATATAATATAAAATAAAATATAGAGTAACAGAGATAGATATCAGAAAGGAGTGCTAATGCCTTGGGTTGGGAAAATATTAAAACAAAAGTTTCCATGAAAGAGATGTCCTAAACTCTGTACCATTGATGTATATAACATTTTCATATATGTACTAAAGGGGTTCACAATGAGAGAATGAAATAAAATATGCTGTAAAACATTTATTTTTCAATTATGAGACTAACAGGTCTATTTACCGCGAGGTCATAACTATCAGCAACTGATCGAACACAAATTACAACTTTTGAGGTGCCAAAGCCATCAAGATCTGCATGAGTGTCCCGCACCTACAAAATATATCTTGGTTAAAAGCTTTGGCCAAATACTTTTGGTCAAACCACAACACATAAATTTGTTTAGCTTGACCAAAGGACAACTTTTTTTGTTAAATGTTCTCCTTTTATAACAATTAGAATCAGACATCTTATAATTTGTTTTTGACTGTATTAAACTCATCTAGTGCTTCTCTTATAAATTATTTCTCTCAAACAATACTTAGAACATTTTATAGAATGAAGACTTACCTCAATATTTATACGGCGTCTGTAATGTCTGTTCAGTTCAGGTATACAAAGTGCCGTTCCATATGGTAAATTTAACCCTCGGTCCATGGATGCTGTTACATAAGGTGATCTACCATCCAAAAATTCCTGTAAATATAAAAATCATCAAAGATGAAAATTTCTGATTTGGAAAAGTTGACAAAGATTTCCCTACTATAAACATTTATTTTTACTATACAAATAGGTAGAAATGATAAAAGTTGTAAGGCACCCAATTTTCGAATCCTGAATTTACTGGAATCTAATTTTCCTTTTAGGGTATTTTTAAATGCTCTCACCTGTCCACAGACCCTTAACCGTAAATAGCCGGTATTTGGTAGCGTAAATACCTAGTAAGTAGCCAAAGTTCAGGAACCAATAAAAAAGGTTTGAGTAAAAACTTGAAATTTTTCTTCCTATGAAAACTCTATGCTATTCCTCTCGAAAAAGGTTTCTCTGAAGGTTGAAAGCCTGAAGCATCCAGAGCCTTAAAAATGTAGTTTTGACTGAATAAATTTTAAAAATAATTTTTGGTAATAGAATAATGTTTTTAAAGAGAAGATGATTTAGTTATGCCCATTTATATTAAATTTTCTCTCCTTTGAACATATCATTACTTTAAAAGAAGTATACCCAAAAAGTAGTATAGTGCCTGCTTTGGGGTGAAATAACTCACCCATCAACTAGTTAAGTTGTATAAGGCAGCAGTTTTTTTGTGCCTCTGCCAAGAATAGATGAACCCCTCTTGAGTTACCTGACTGAGGCAAGATTCAATTAAATTAAACCCTCAATCTGCAGTCTTGTTTACTAACCAGAAAAACAACACCTTAAACTGTTTGACCATTGATCAGTCTACCATAGTAACAGCACTTGTCAACTTAAAGCACAATGGTAGTGCTTCTAGACTTGAGTCTCAGGTCGCAGCGGACATCAGGAGTAGCTTTCTGCTGTTTTGTTAAGTTCATCAGATAGATACTTGTAATTGAAAATTAGGTTAGGTTAGTCTTACATCCGATATATTGGAAATTGAAGCTTAAGCCTCGTTTACTTTGGAGCTAATAACATTTGTTATTAACATTAAAAACACATCTAATTTGTCAGAAACATTTCGTGTTATTAACAAAAATCCTGTGTTTCTAACAAAAATTTTGTTACCCACCAAGAGTCAATAACATTCTTTGATCTTCGGAGAATTTTAATTACATTTGTTATTACAGTTGTTAAGTTACTGCACATTTAGGATGTTATTAGCATCCAAAAATGTTAACTGCTGACTTTTCCTTATTGTTTACCAATTCTTTGTGCTCTGTTTGGAAATTTGCTGACCCAACATGTTTTTAATCAAATAGTCAAAGTCAAAATAGTCATTCGTAGGAAGTTCTAGAAGCTCCCGTCACACCTTAACTCACCCGACAAAGAATCTATGTCTCATCTTTTAAATCTTGAAACATGTCACTTCCACTATATCTAGTTCTTGCCTTAAGGAAAGGCTTAACCCAGATTCCTCTTGGTTTCCTCTGCTTCGTCAAAATCAAACAGGCAGCCGCAGCAAGAAAACATGCTGCTTACTTAGTGCTCACTTGACTGACATTGTCAAGGGAACTGATGTGGAAGTGGTAAAATGTTAATAACAAAAGTTACAAGACAAACAAAATGTTAATAGCATAAAAAGTTGATAACATATTTGTAATAACTCTGGTGTAAACGCGGCTTTACTTTTTAAAGGGGGAAAAACTTTGAGTACCTGTAGTGAATGCAGCTTAGTCCCAGCCCTGTCAGTGTAATCTGCAATGTCGTCAGAGTCAAACACTGGGAAGTACGCAGACAACGTTGCATTGTATCCCACACCACAGGCGCAAACTACGTCTTCATATCTCGTTGGTAAGTATGAATCTATTAAACCTGTTTTGAACAAGAATATTGGTTATTTTAGGAATTTGTAAACTACTACACTCTTAAACAAGTTATTCTCATTGAATCAAATTAACGCTGAAATTGTCCTTTTAACAAATGATTCAAAATTATTAGTTTATACCAAATAAAATTAAAAGTAATATAGATATTTAAATTAATTAAAAAGTTTACCTGATATTGAAGATATAGAAATAGCTACCACGAAAATTACATTCATATTCCTGGGAGTAAAAGGTGCTGATCAAAATATATTCAGTAGTGCAATATCAGCATCTAGCAAGGGACTGAAGTTCTTACCTTGCGATTCACAATCGCTGATGTAAGTCCTTACCAAGTCATATGTTTACTATTTACAATATTGTGTTTTGTTTCCAAGTAGTGACCCACTAATGAACCGTAAACTAAGTATGACTAGCTGCTAATATTGTCTTTGTGTGTTGTAATTAGACAACTTTTCCCATTGTTTTGAAGTGTTTCATGCTGGGTTATATTTGGGTGCACTGATATTTTTATCTTATTTTGAAACAATATACAGAGTGTAATTACTCATTAACTACCCAAAGACAAGCCATATTTTACAAATTAATTGTTTTATTTATCTAAAATAGTTTTAAAATGTATTAAATTACCAGAAATCAATATAAAACTTCAAAACACACTCTCCATAATATACTGGACGAAAAGTGTCTTAAAATTGTCTTCAGAAATTGTCTTGCCATGTGATATTTCAGGAGTATTCATTTTATCTTTCTTGCTAGATAAGTTTTTGTGGAACACAAGAGACATAACTTAAAATTGATTATATCTCTTATTGAATTGCATTCTAGTTCAATTAAAAACCAATGACTGTATAAAAAAATTGAATTAACAAAAAACCTCAAAAATCTCTATAAGCAAAACCAATATATTCAATATCTAATATTTACTGTACCTACACATAAGAGTTTATTGAATTGATTTTAGTTAAAACTAGCTGTGTACCCGTTCTTCGTACGGGTTAAGTATGTACCCACGTAAAACAACGCTTCAATATACAAAATTATTTTTTTTTAAGCTCTACAAAATGGTCTCGAAAGAAATTGTGAATGTGTATGTTGTTAGAGTCAAAAATGGAAATGGCCATTATATTAAGTTTATATCGTGAAGTAATCTCTAAAGGATTGTAAGAGGGTTGTAAATGTATTATTTAACAAGATAATATATTCAGTCAGTAATAAGAAATGTGTACAATTACTGTTTTAGCCAACAATGTACATGATGATTTATTGAACCTGTTTCTATATGAATTATTTATTAAGTAAATATGTCAGAGGTTCAGGCTTCTGTAGCTGAAACAGAATAACGAATGAATAATGTATGGTTTGGTATAATAGTTTACCTGCATGGCTATAATTTGCAACAGAATTATATGTCCTTCCTTCCTTCTCAAATATTATGCAAGGGGTACAAAATTGCATTATGCGAACTACAACCTCTATAAATACTGCAGTATTGCATTTAGCATCAGATACATAACCATCCAATACTAAATCCAGATGTAGATTTGTATATGTTTCCCACCCCGCTACATCAATCTATACAGAACTTCGATAACAAGTCTTTGATGGGGATGATCAATTAAGACTTGTTATCATGGTTGACTTCTTATTGAGGTTTGCAATTGCAGTAAGGGTAGTATGAGGTAGATGGTATTTGAAAATGACACTTGTTATTGAGGGTCTTCATAATTGAAGGTTCCGCAGCATTTTATTTTGCTATCTCCAAGTTAAAGGTTAATTTCGATCTTTATCCTCTGAATATCATTTTGGTTTCATAAGCAATGATCAAAACCCACTCAAAATGTATTGCCCCTAGATATAGCCCCCCCCCCCCCCAAATCTGTCACTCCATCAACATTATTTTTTTTTAATTATAATGAATAATGTATTCTATATCCAACCACAATTTAGTTTCACAAAAAGTGCAATTTGGAAAATGTTTGCGAAAGTAAAAATTGTAAACTCAAGTATTAATTAAATCCCAGACAAGTTCGGAGTTGAGTTTCCAGGTCAACAGGTACCACTTGACCTTCCTGAGATGCAGCCTTTGTCGTTAGAACATTAATCAACGTAAGGGTTGTTAGCTTGTTATTTTTAAATAACTGCTCCTGTAAGTCGCCTTTGCTCCAGTGGTTAATTTTACAGCCCAACGCTACTTATTTATTTTGTTAATCTACACCATAGGTATTTTTACATTTTGTTGCAAGGAACCAATCTTGATCTTCACCATCTAATGTGGACGTTTTGTAGAAGGCATCATCAAATTGGTAGCCAGGCCTAATGATAAATGGGATAAATAAGTTTCCAAAATCCATCTTCCTTGGAATCAAACTAGCAACCTTGGCCGGCACTAACATTGCTACCTAGATAAATATACAGGGTGGCTGAAAAGTAACTTGCACCCCCCCCCCCCTTAGAGGGGCTACAATAACTATGGTTAATTTTGAAAATTTTGCCCTTAGGCAGTGGGGGGGGGAGGGTAGCTCAAAATGTTCAAATAGGAAGTATGGCAGGTGGTTTGATAAAATTTTACAGGTTTTAACAAAACTAAACAATTAACATCAAATAAATCGGACTACTATAAAAAAATGGCAGTTAAAAATTACTTTTAATAACCATCGTCTTAATCATTTTGAGCTGCCATTTTGTTATTAATTGTCCGATTTACATTTTACTTATGTTAATTGTTTAGTTTTGTCAAGACCTGTAAAACGATACCAAAATTGACCATACTTCTTATTTGAAAATTTTTAGCTAATGTTGTAAGTTATCTATATAAATAAAATTAGAGTTTTGTCTGTACATTGCTCAGAATCATAAACTTTTGAGTTATTTTTACGTTTTATACATTAAAGAAACCGAAACAAGTCTCATCTAAATTTCTGTCTGTCTTCCTGTCTGTCACGGCCCAAGAGCCATTTTACGCGGCCTTCTCCTGAAAAACGAGAGTACCTATCAAGTTCCAAATCATTTTAATGTATTCACTGGATTGGTGAGATTGTCTTTAGCCATTGAAATATGGCATCACTACTTTGTAAATAAAATGACAGACGTTTAAAAACCCAATTTTGTGCGATTTTTTGTAAAGTTTTCACAATATTTATCACATATTCATCTATGAAATAACGAACAGCTGTTCGAATCAAGATTATTTCTTCTAGCTGTCACTGATATGTTTACATTGAATGTTGTTTACAAATACCGCAACCATTTCCGATCACGTTTTGAAAGCAAATCCAAACCAAGTAAGATTTAAAACGTTTTTCCTTACATAATGGATTTAATTAATCGCAAGTGCAATAATTTGTAGGGTATCCGTAAATGAAAATAGAGGTTCTTTGTGTATAAAACTGTTCTTGAGTTTTCATAACCGAGAAAAAGACTTTGAATCAGTGTTGTGGCTGGGAAACTTACATTTTTTTAAACGAGCGTATTCAGTCGAGACTCGGCACAAGACCAACGAGCGTCTACAAGTCCATAGTAAAAATAAAAGTAGGTATACCGTGTATTTATGTTTTATTCGTCATGTGTATAAGTGTACAGTTCGTTTATGTGTTTCAAAAACTCCAAGACGCACCTAATGGGGAAGCTCAAGACCTTTTATTAGGACTGATAATGGCGATTTAATTTTGCCGAAATGCATCTCCTGTAATAGGATACTTTAGGATCGACCGGCGGACACAGGTAATTTTACCTTTTATTAATTGTCTTACCGATCCGGAACAACAACAAACAACATAAAATGAAGTTATATGTATAATAGTTTGGCCAGCATATCTGAAAATATGCAAACCAACTGCTGTTTGTATATATGAAGGTTTCAACTGAATACTAAAAGATCCCCGTGCGTGGAACGGGTACACAGCTAGTTACTTATTTCCCTAATTACTGTTCTAAACAAAAATTATCTCGAAAAGGTATAACTTATTACACTTGATTCATTTTGCCTCTGTAACAAGTTTTAGTCCCTATTGAACTATGCAATTTGCACACCAGTCTCCTCTTTTGATTAAACTAGTTGTTTCCAGTTAATAATATTAACTACATTTCAATAATTTAAATACAATTTTATCTCGTCACTACATAATAACGTAATATAATGACGTAATATACGTTGACTATATAACGTAATATAATGTAGTGTTATATAGTCAATGTCAATACTCAATAGGCTACTGTTTTAATAAAGGTTTTAACAGAGTACACAATACTGCCTGACAGAACAGTTAACATTTACATCTTACTTTTGACATGTTAAAGGTGAAACGCTTTCCATACGATTTTTTTTTTCGCTAACACTAATAACGACTTTAACCAGAAGACCTTGGTTTCGTTGTTTTTTCACCATTATGTTTAGTTAATCAAAAGCGTGGTACCCCCATGCTGAAAGCAGGGCTATGGCAGATAAGACAAACTTTTCAAGTGTATGTCCTTGAATTTTTGTGATGGTCATGGCAAAAGCAATTTGGCATTGAAACTGCAGATGTTTGAATTTTTAGGAGAAAATTTCCCTCTGACGATTCTAAACTTAATTGGAATAATAATACTGTACTCGTTTTCCAGCTGAACTTGCAGTAATCATTTTCATATCTAAGACTTCATTATTCTGGTTCCATTTAACCTGTCCTTTTTATGGATTTAAATTTCTTAGTAAAATTACAATTCCACCTTTTTATAAACATAACTTGTGAGACATAACCATTTGGTGCTAAAAGTGTGGAGAAATTCATCAGGGACATGTAACCGGTCTTCCTCGTCTTGAATCAAAGTGTCTACTGAGTAGTAAATTCTACTTGTCATTATTTAGTTGCTTAGCTATTTTATTATTAATTTGGTCACCATGTTCATTCTTTGGTTAAATTATTGCATGATTTTTGTCTTTTTTTAAGCATTTTCAGAGAATCCTTCACTAAAGATTTCGTCAATGATATTTTTATTCCTAATATATTGTGGTGGAAGACTTATCAATGTCTCACAAAGACCATAAAGGTAGCTCTCTTGGCCATTCCTTATTCGTAAAAGATATTCATCAAATATTGATTCCCCTGGATTTGCTCTCACGTTTTTAGCAAGTGAAATATTTTTAAACATTGACCATAAAAGTGATATAATTATTGAATTTTCTACCATTTCAATTTAAATCTGTTTTGTACTGTACGTACGCTAAGATCTGTTTTGTGACATCATCTGTCCGTGCAATATTAAAAAAAACTTCAAAAACCAGAATAGGTAACTTTTCACAATTTATTATCATACCATCTCTGTCGTTAATACGTCGCCGAATCGCAAACACGGGAATGTTTCTTCTTGGTAGAATTTTATGATAATCAAAATTAAAATTTGGAAAACACAACACATAAAAATATCTATGAAAACGTTAAACACACCATTATCTGAAAATAAAATACAATCACATAATGTAATAGACTGGTTTTTACTTTCTATGAATGGAACTGCATAAATCAACTATCCCATCTCATAAGTTATCATTGTATTTGAAAGTAAACTGATAGGTAAACAGAAAAAGTAAATATTAAAATGACAGAAGGGAAACAGGCTATTTTTATGAAGACAGATGCTTACTTTTAAGAAATGAATCATATGTTAGGTAATCTTAACAAATTTTGACTTGTATATTTAAAATACATGAAAACTGTTAAGTCCAATGGAGCAAAGCACATTGAACTGAGCGTGACAAAAGTTATTCCATGACTTCTACAGAGAATCTATATATTAATTTGAAACTGTTTTTCTTTGTCACAGCTATTTTGAGAGAACGGCTGGGCGTAGAAACTCGGTAGAGGTGTCTAAAGAAAGGTCTTGGTCTGTAGATGAGCCATCAAAAGAGAAACATGTTGAATCCCCTTGGGGCTCTGCCCCAGTGGCCTTTGAATTCCCATCCCATGTTATTCTTATGGAGGAAAACAGGGTTTTTGTCACAGCTAATTTTAGAGAACGGCTGGGCGTAAAAACTTGGTAGGGGTCTCCAAAGAAAGGTCTTGGTCTGTAGATGAGCCATCAAAAGAGGAACGAGGTAAATTCCCTTGGGGCTCTGCCCCAGAAGCCTTTAAAGTTGCCTCTTCAGATTTGTTTACATTACGACCATATGCATAACTCTACTCTACTTTTTAATGAAACAGCTGTTTATATTTAAATTGTGATATTTATTGAATTGGTCAAAATGAAGTACAGTATTTAAAACGGGTTTTTCTGATTTTAAAATGGATTTTCTTCTGCATCGTGTCATGTTTTGCAATATAATGTTCTATTACCAAATCAGTGGAAAATCCTATTATCACAGTAGGCCTAACTCTTAAAATGATTTCTCTTGGAGTTAACTTATATCTATTGTATGGGTTGGTTTCCAAATTTTTTACCACTTCTTGGAGATTGTACATAGGTGATATTCGTTGGCATATTGCATCTGTAGACGAAACTTGGGTTGGTGTAATTATTAGAATGGAAAAGGACGAGAAATCTTGGACAATTTGATATAGGCTAAAAATAAAACTGAATTAACACTGTTCTACATTTCTTGAGCTATCATTTAAATAACCGATTTGCAAACAATGGAAACATAGAAAAAGTCATAGAACACAACCAATTAGAAGAAATAGAAACATTGTTTTTTTCCATTTATAATCGTTATCATAGACAACCTAATGTGGCTATGAGAGGGAAAAATTTGTAGAAAACACTAAAAAACAAGATCAGCTTTTTGAAAAAAGGTAAGATATTTACAAAAGATTTTGATTATATCTAACTGTTGTGTAGATTGTGAGTATTTCCATAATCTTTGAGTCACCTGTAATGCTTCGCAATTGCTCGAATTCGAGCAACAGGTACACTAGTTCCCTTTAATTTGACATATTAATCATCAAAATCGGTTCATAAATAAAAGAGTTATTTGCCGTGCACAAGAAAATCCTTACGGAATTGGAATAATATAATATATATATAATGGAACTAAATGTTTACAAAATAATATTAGGCCGGTTAAATTATATTCTTGTTTACTTAAACCAAAATTTTAAACCATCTTTAAGTAGTTTAATTGATAAAATACTATTCATAGTAACAAAGCAATAACCAGTCCAAATTAAAAGAGAGAAAAATATACAAAATTCTCCCTTTTCCTATCAAAATGGCATTTACACCTTTCACCTTTCAAATCAAAATGTATACAAATATTTTGATTCAATTTTATGTAAGTGGCATTAGTTAATAATAGATTAAAATTAAACAATAATATAATATACAAATTTAATTTTATAAATTGTAATCTTACAACTTAAAATAGCTTGTATTTTTAATTTTGTCAACCCTCAATTATGGGTAAAATGTATTAAAAAATCACAAACCCCAGAGAAGTAACAATTAGCACCCATTATGCCTCAGCACACCAAAACATGACCTACTTTACCTCTAGTCTTTGTGAAAATTAATTGGGCCAATGTTTCTTCAACTGCTAGTGGCAGAGAAAATGTTTGCGAGACGAGTAGTAGTGCGGGGGTTGAGGAGGAATCAATACGGCGATGGTGACCAATTGCATACGTTCCCGCGCACAGGCGCAAACACCATAACTTCTCACACTCTTTGAGACGCAAACAAAACTCGGAAGCGGATTGAGCTCTGGCGGAAAATTTGCGAACTAAGATTGTCATCAACAACAGAGTCGGATGTTTTGATCCGGCCCCGGCACTGGGCAGTAGCCGAGCTGAGGGTTGTGAGGTGACGTATATCCTCGGTTGTCTCGGAATCTAATCCTAATCTAATGAATCACTTGATCGAACGTATTGTTTGTGTTTCGTCGGTCTCAGGGCACCTAATTGTGTCAGTGTTGTGATTTGTTCAAATTGATCATCGATTAACGAATAAGATGAATTACTGGATTCCAATTATCTAGGTAAGTGTGTGATCCCTTGGAATAATCGAATGCACATGAATTGGTTTATTTTAAGGGTAAGGCCGTAGATTATGTTAACTCACCAGAAACTAACTCAGAACAAACGAAATATTGGGACGAAAAACGTATAAAAATATACGTACAATATACAGGTTTATAATGTGGTTTTGATATTTTTACCAATGAAGAAAATAGTCTAGAAATTATTATTATGAATAAATTTTGGTTAATGTCTCGTCTCATAAAAACACCTATGAGGTTGATGTCCTGATATCAAGGATAGTTGTTGATTCGTCATTTGACACAGCATCTTGTCAGTTTGCCAACCAACTTTATCTGTGAGACTGATGAGGTTGATGACCTAATATAAAGGATAGTTGTTGTTGATTCGTCACATGACAAAGTATCTTGTCAGTTTGCCAACCAACGTTATCTGTGAGATTATGATGAGGTTGATGACCTGATATCCAGGTATAGTTGTTGGTTCGTCACATGACACAGCATCTTGTCAGTTTGCCAACCAACGTTATCTGTGAGACTGATGAGGTTGATGACCTGATATCAGGGATAGTTGTTGATTCGTCACTTGACACAGCATCTTGTCAGTTTGCCAACCAACGTTTTCTGTGAGACTGATGAGGTTGATGTCCTGATATCCAGGGATAGTTGTTGATTCGTCACATGACACAGCATCTTGTCAGTTTGCCAACCAACGTTATCTGTGAGACTGATGAGGTTGATGACCTGATATCAAGGATAGTTATTGATTCGTCACATGACACAGCATCTTGTCAGTTTGCCAACCAACGTTTTCTGTGAGACTGATGAGGTTGATGACCTAATATCAAGGATAGTTGTTGATTCGTCACATGACACAGCATCTTGTCAGTTTGCCAACCAACGTTATCTGTGAGACTGATGAGGTTGATGACCTGATATCAAGGATAGTTGTTGATTCGTCACATGACACAGCATCTTGTCAGTTTGCCAACCAACGTTATCTGTGAGACTGATGAGGTTGATGACCTGATATCAAGGATAGTTATTGATTCGTCACATGACACAGCATCTTGTCAGTTTGCCAACCAACGTTTTCTGTGAGACTGATGAGGTTGATGTCCTGATATCCAGGGATAGTTGTTGATTCGTCACATGACACAACATCTTGTCAGTTTGCCAACCAACGTTATCTGTGAGACTGATGAGGTTGATGACCTAATATCAAGGATAGTTGTTGATTCGTCACATGACACAGCATCTTGTCAGTTTGCCAACCAACGTTATCTGTGAGACTGATGAGGTTGATGACCTGATATCAAGGATAGTTGTTGATTCGTCACATGACACAGCATCTTGTCAGTTTGCCAACCAACGTTTTCTGTGAGACTGATGAGGTTGATGACCTGATATCAAGGATAGTTGTTGATTCGTCACATGACACAGCATCTTTTCAGTTTGCCAACCAACGTTTTCTGTGAGACTGATGAGGTTGATTACCTGATATCAGGGATAGTTGTTGATTCGTCACATGACACAGCAACTTGTCAGTTTGCCAACCAACTTTGTGTGTGAGACTGATGAGGTTGATGACCTGATATCCAGGTATAGTTGTTGATTAGTCTCATGACACAGCATCTTGTCCGTTTGCCAACCAACGTTAGCGTTGAGACTGATGAGGTTGATTACCTAATATCAGGGATAGTTGTTGATTCGCCACAATGACACAGCATGTTGACGGTTTGCCAACCATTTTTGTGTGTGAGACTGATGAGGTTGATGACCTGATATACCTCCCACATTGGTTGTAGTTTCGTTACATGATGCAGCATCATGTCAGCTTGGCAACAAATTAAGTCTTTGGACACAATTAATAGTATTTGTAACTAATTTGATCATGGGTATTGTATAAAATCAATGGTAAGAAGTATGCATTTTGAGTCGATATGTGAACCATTTCAAAACCATGATTAGTAGAGTATACGTGTGAAATAGGTATCGGTACCAATTTATGATTAATTAATACCTTTAGTGCGTATTTGTTTCTTCATTTCCCTTCTTTATTCAAGTCAAGATTTACTTCATAGGCCGTTACATAAAGTTAAATCAAACTTAGGGAAAAAATTATATGCAGACGCATTCAGTACACTACTATAAAATCCACAATAATCCCAAAACACCTTTCTTATTTTACACTTTACTCCACGAGGGTTTAGTGTCAGAAATTTTATAAAAATGAAAATTATAAATACAAATCTCGATTGAGTCTGCCACCACCGCTCCGCGGTTAACCCCAATGTGTATACTCTATGGAATAACTAAACACTCGTCGAGGTTTGTTTGAACTTGTGTATCTCGCGTTTATACTACAAACAAGCGTTTCGAATTACAGGAGTTTAATAATTGATCGATTAAGTAATAAAATTGATTGACTTTTAAGGTTTGATCTACAGTTTCGATATTTGCTGGTTAAAGCATGCAGTCCACACTGCATAAAAATTTTGTTTATGATTCATACATGCAATTCACGGTATGAGAACAAATTCACAGAAGGGAACCACTTGGGAGTTAACTGAACCCCTATATAATAATATAAACTTACAGTACTCAAACGATACGGTAACACATACCTATAAGATACCAGTTAAGGAAAACATAGACTTTCAATAGTACAAGATAAGCCATATCATATATAAAACAAGGTTAGTCTATGACCATATTTTCATCAAATTGTACAATCTAAAACTTGTTTTGACATTTTTTTATGTTTTAACGTTTGAGGGCTTGTGACAACTAATGATTTTTACTCTAACCATAAAGAGATTTTAAACAGTAAAACACAATCATCAACAAGACAGGTTTTCCGCTAAACCGTAAGGACGATAAATCTAATTGTACAGGGTTTGTTTTATCCATGGGATAAACAGGAGGACAACAGTGCAGGTGCAGGACATAACTCTCGCTGTCCCAATAAGCGTCACCCCCTCGGTATCCGCCTCTCCTGTCTCCAGTCGCTAGAGGGATGTTTACCCAGCGAGGGTGGTTATGGTTAACGTAACCGATGTACTTAGCTTGGTAACAAGTCCACAAACACCACCACTTGAACCACTCACTGCTGCTCACTGCTCATTCCTCATTCCTGCACTGTTTTGTTTATCTTTTTAAATAATCAGCGGTGGAAAGTAGAAAGGAGAAGGGTGTAAATGAACAAACATTTATGATTTTATACATGGAAAGTGCTGTAGATATTTTCTTAAAGAAATATAATAGACTACTATGTTTCTATATTTATGGTATTTCGGTTCCTTCGCTGTGGTTGAACAATTTATAAAGCAGGATAATGTTAAAGGTAGGAGAAAAGGGATTTGAATGAATTCATGTATACCATTTTACACGTGGACGGTTATAACAATTTTATGTAAGAAAGAGAAAAGATAAAAGAAAAGATACCTTACTACGATACGATTTATACATTTTATAATCATCTAGATTATCTTCATTTTAGTGTCGCGTTTTTATCATTTCAAAATTTAAAAGCAAAATTTAAAATAAATACACGTATGTATACACTTATTTATACGACTCTGTTTGGGAAGGTCATGATAGTGACGTTATGGTTTTTAAGTCATTATATTTTTCTGTTGATTAATACTGTACAATAGTTTTCGCCGTATGCCTATATTACGCATGACGTACATGCTCCAAGTCATTCTGAAGACGACTTATTGTAAGCTGTATCATCTATTATGTCACATCGACCAAGGTCAAAAATATAATTTTTATACGTTGCACACTCTCTGTGTTGGTCTTTAAACTTTTATTATTTTATTGTTGTTGTTAAAAATAGGACGAAACTGGTCCATGTAGATGGGATGTCTAGTTCAGCATCAGCAAGTCAATGCTACAACTTTGAAATGGGAACGGAATGAGTTCTATCCATAATCAATGAGGTTTTCTTTAAGGTACACATCTACAACCTGTGTTATAAACTGATGCACCACAAAGATGAAGCGTTATCAGCATGTGTCGCTTTTGTTCCGCGGTTGAAGGCTATTTCTTCACATCGCTTTTCTTCCGGGGGTCACCAGTCATGTGGGGTTTAAAACTCGTTAAATTATCATTTTCTCCTTAACAAAAGTATCAATAATTTAACCTTACCTAACCTAACCTATGAAAGAAAGAATTAGGAGGAGAGCGAAAATGAGGATTTGGGGGAGGAGAGTGCAGCCCCCGCGGAACAGGAGAGATGTTCGCGGAACAAAACCCATGTTTCGGCGGGTCTCGAAATCTACCTGCTGACCCCTGGAACAAGTGATGTGAAGAAATCAGCCTTCAACCGCGGAACAAAAGTGATACAGCCCTTCATCACATTCCTATTCTTCAACAACACTGCACTTGTCTCCTATTCCATTGTGTTCGCCACCGCAACACAAACACTACATAGCACGTGTCTCCCCCAGTCTGTCTACTTGCAGAAGAGCTGCCACGTGGCGGGGGTTGTAGGGAACTTCAAAAACACCACGGTTCATTACATACTACCAATCAGATCCATCCCTGAGTGGAGTAGCACAGTCTACAGGGTATAGACAATACCGCTTTGACGAGCACTTGACGCTACACACTGCTAGAGAAAGATGAATTGCATAGACTGCGTGATAGTTGATACAGTTTGTTGAGTCAATTTTGATTGGGAGTAGTGAATATTTAATTTCAAGTAATCCCTGTTAGTAACACCTTTGATTTCGTACACACTGTGAAGAAGACACAAATTTCCATGTTATTGTTGTACCGTAGAAGTTTCAGGGTTGAAAATAGCTTCCCTGAATTTCTGGGTAGACTTCCACGGGCACATACTGTAGATTCTTAGTCTTCGGACGACGCATGTCAAACTATTTGAAACACTATTCATTGAAAATCGCTTCAGCCTCATGTGGAATGAATTTACAAGCTTTCGCACAGTTGAGGAACTCGCAGAAAACGTCGGTAAATGGATAAGTTTAATT